TTGAGTCCTCTGTCATTTATCAATTTATCGCCTGATGCTTAATCCCGACCTTGGTTTGCACGTGTAACATATTTAAATAATCCAAAATATCAGTGTAACATATTTAACAAACTAATCCGAAATATCAGGAGCACACGGATATTAACGTAAATAAGATAAAAAGGGCATAACACAGTACGAATGTACGATACAATCCATATTAACATATGTACTATCCAATCCATTGGATGAAAAGTAATTTAAGGCATAAAGCAAAGTTGCAACATACATATTAAAGATTTGCTAAACTAAAATAGGGAAAACAATAGCTTTTATAAAACTCCCCTCACGGTCCTGAACATCATCTCCTGCAGAAGTTTGGTCTTGCCCAAAATGACATTCCAAGTTGAGTTCAAACTGCATACAGCAAGAAGGATAATAATATAGACAATATTTATCAATATTCATAAGGTTTGTAATATTCTTAGAAACATCTCAGATTCAAAGACTTCCAAGAATTGTAGCTTGTAAAAATCAAAATGTTACAGATTATAACTAAACCAAATATGATTCGTATCTTTAACGACCAGATTTGAAGAAGCCGTGTGAGCGACAACATATACATAAGGTCTGTGGGGGGGGGGGGGTGATTGCTTACAAAGAAGGCAATGTAGCGACCTAAAGCAACTCTGCTGGCACTTGAATCAACATAGTCAATAATGAAATTAAAGGATCACATATATCCATTCCCTCGTATAAAAAACAATTAGATATAAAAGTAACAGCATATTAACCCTCGGATCTGAGAAGGGAAGAAAACTGCAAGTTCAATGTGAATTTACTTGTATATGCAAACAAAGAAACCAGATTGTAAATCTGAAATGAGGGCATACAGCCTAAGAGTGAATACGCACAGCTTTCATGTTGGTTTCTGTCAATCAACATATACATAAGGTCTGTGGGGGGGGGGGGGTAATGATTGCTTACAAAGAAGGCAATGTAGCGACCTAAAGCAACTCTGCTGGCACTTGAATCAACATAGTCAATAATGAAATTAAAGGATCACATATATCCATTCCATCGTATAAAAAACAATTAGATATAAAAGTAACAGCATATTAACCCTCGGATCTGAGAAGGGAAGAAAACTGCAAGTTCAATGTGAATTTACTTGTATATGCAAACAAAGAAACCAGATTGTAAATCTGAAATGAGGGCATACAGCCTAAGAGTGAATACGCAAAGCTTTCATGTTGGTTTCTGTCAATCAATAGAACACATTTCAAGCTTCAGGTGATCCAAATGCTTGTCATCCCTTATGCTCCACCCATATGCAGTATTCCCACTTATGAAATTCTTAAATGTGGAAAATATGTTCCTCTCTAAAGCTCCACTTAACTCAGCAGGTTTTAGGACATCGTTATCAGATTCTGCAATATTCGTTTGTCTTCCTGGTTCTCAATAAAAAACTTACATAGGTAAGATGTTATAAATTGAAAAGAGTGTTGTGGCACATGACTTGCAATTCCTTTCCTAGGTTCAGCTGGCTGCCCCAATCTGTAATTATCTACCGGAACAATAACAGGCACTCCTAATCTGTGAAGCAACAATACCACAAACTTGGCTGGATATTTTCATTTTAAATCATAATAATCACACAAAGAAAAACTTTGCAAAATTAAAATATATTCTATGTGCAGTAACTAAATCCATCCTTATAAGGATACATATTTGTTTCATATCACAGACTGGATCAAAATAATACAGGTCATACGAAGCGATGTTGATGACATATCTAACAGAGAATTTTTCAACTGCAAACCTCGAAGTATTAGCAGTAGGACAATTTTTCTGAGCCAGGAGTATCACCTATATTTCTTCTTCATTCTAATCAACTTTTCAACTCCTGAGTAAACAATTGGTTAGATATGTCATAAACTGGGTCATTGCAAATAACAATGGCCACTCAAAGTTTTTTTGATTAGTTAATATGAATGCATGCTTTAACCATGAAATGCTTTACATTTAAACAACACATGTGAGCTGTTGATCATTTTTATTCAAATTTTTAAATAAAAAACAAAAAAAATATCAAACCTCGAGAGAAACACCTTGAACTTAATGTTTCAGCAGTGATCCGTTCAATAGGAAAAAAACACTTTTAGCAGGTGTTATTGAATTAGAAATGTCCATCACTTATGTGCAAGCTTTGGAATGGGCACTCCTGACTCCAATGTTAATAATACACTTTATTATGCTCTTATTCAGCCATAGGATACCCACCATAGTAAGCAATTCAAAGGACACCTAACCAAAAAATAATAATCAAAACAATCTTTCATTCATTAAAGCATGCAGAGTATTAGTCATCTGCACCAGATAGATTGTCCCAACACACATCCACCAATGGGTGCATTCAACATTACACACAAACAACAAAGTTCAAATTTTATAAGGGCAATAGAAAGCTTAGACACACAGAGTATTATCTAAAAAGAAAAACCAGAATGAGTTCCTACTTGCTAACTAGCTCATCCGAAGTCAATCCCTCCTGAAATTCAGATTAAAAAGGTAAACTATTATCAACATACATTATCTATTCAAAAATCACAAACTTTAAAAGACATTTATGCATTTGAGAAAGGATGAAGGTTTTCATACATTACGAACTGAAAAATGGTGAAACGCCATTATTAATCCAATTTTATAGTGCAAGTCTTTAGAAACATCAAGCTCAATACATATCTTCTCTGTTGTGGTTCTAGAAAGATTGGAAATTAGAGGACAAAACCTGGACGTCGGGTTCAGAAAGAAAAGCAAAACAAAGGAGAAGATATTGATTATACCTGATGGGTATCAAACAACAGGGCGGCTCAGGCGGAAGATTTGCAATATGATACACTGTGAACACTGTGAACGCCGGGCGGCTCAGGAGTAAGATTTGTTGCGAAATACAAATCAATCTATAAACGAAATACATGAAAACTGAAATAGAATCAAGTGTGAAAAAGTAGTGATTCCGCTTTTAGGGCCAAGAAGCACATATATGATCTATGATCTTTGCAATATCAACAGATTGAAACTTAATAGCTACCGGGTGATATGGCTATCATAACAAAACTTATTAGGTAGAGAGTGAAATGAATTTCATCATTTGGAAACAAATAAAACACTTGGAAGAATTCATACAATAGTATGTCGAGAATATGGTTTTTGAATTCGAAGCAGAAGTGCCGGTTGCTTGGGAAAATGCCAAATTTATAAGGAGAGCAGGGATAACATAACATTATGAAGCGGCTGAGGTTAGCCTCGATGTATGGAAGAAGAAAGTTCTCGTCCACCCCCCATCCACGGCAAAAGATGGATTTGGCTGAAGTTTAAGTTCTGTTGATGGCAAATATGTCCTCCGTTCAGTCAAAGAAGAAAGTAAGATCATCGAAAAAATACTAATTTGTAACATAATATACTACGTATAAGAATATCAATTTGAATGGAAAACCTTAACTCAAATATGTTCTTCATTTGATGGAAGAAGCGTTATATAGAGTAGCAAGTTTTTTTTACAACAAAATTGCTTTTCGTGTACTGGATTGGAGGAATAAGAGTATACAACTCTTCTCACGTCAGAGGTACTGGTGCAGGGGGCTGGTACGGCAGACGATATTCCTTCAGACCAGGAGGTGATCCGGTGTGGGCAGGTGGCTGAAGAAGAAGAGCAGCTTTCAACTATTGGAACTCTGAAGAATAGCGTGTTTGGAAGAATTTTCTCTCGTATGTGATGCTTTTAAGCATATAAAGATAAAGATTTTCTAAAAAGAAAAAAAGGAACCTGTCAGTTTTAGTCCAATTTTGGGGGAAACATAAGTGGTTTGGACTGGTTCTGGGTATTGGCTCCAGTCCGGAAACAGGAAAAAAGGGCCAGCAGTCTGATTCTTGACCTGCTCGGTTTCGACCCAATCCAGTACCAGAACTGTGTACTCATCAAGTAAGTAAACCAACCCGGAATTTCAAGATTAAAATCCAGCCAGGGGCAATCACAAAAGGTACCTACAAAACTGTAGAAGTAGCAGATTAAAGCAAGACCAGCCAATCATGCCCAGTTATACTCATACAAACAGGTAGCCCTAAAAATCACATCTACCACCAACTAACCATGCAAAGAACAAAAAAATGCAGCCAGGAAGAAGACAACTAACTAGCAATACATCAACATGTAGAAAATGAAAGGGATCTGACCCGATAAAATCCTGCTAAATCAATTGGTAAAGACTTACTAGCAGGAACTTATTAACCACAGAGAGGTACTCAGCCACCTTGAATGAAAAACAGCTAGAGACAAAAACATTTAGTAAACGGATTATCACTTTTGATCTTTAAATAAACACCAATGCACCTGGAAAGCATAATCTTGAGAGAAAGAATGTGAAAGAATCTCGGATCACCACTGCTATTGAAAACATATATCCATTGACTGAGGAAAGAGACAGCTACACAGACCGGGTGTAACTATTAATGCATAACACATTGCCCATTGGCCATTTAAGTTTTACAATAAGTTCTGTGTGAAACTATTAACCATTTAGAATGACATTATTTTTATCAGACTGATCCGCAAAGCAAGTTGTATTGCATGTCATTTAAACTTTTAATAGAGGTTATTCAGAACAGTAATCAAGTACTACTGGTGAACACTTGAGCATCGTGAACCATCCTGAAAACATCATACATATAAAATTCTTTAGGGGATAAGCCAGACAACAACTAATTGAGATAAAAAAAATTGAGCATAAATAGCTGATTCATGATTACAAGTTCATAAAAAGAAAGATAAATAACGAAAAATTGCCAATTACTTTCTAGTCTTCTTAAGGGACCCTTTAAGCTCTAACAATAATGAAGTGGTAGTACTTCCAGTTCCATATATGAATAAAATAAAAATCGAACACATAGAGAGGCCACCATAATCAAGAGCTAGAAATAACTAGATCAAAGACTAATTGAACTCAAAATAAGTATAGAAGGTGAAGATAAGCATTTGATATTCGGATATCAATTGGAAATTGAGTTTACATAGAGATGCACAAGATATCAAAAAAGCCTGTGAAAACAAAGTATTTTAGCAATTGCAAAAAAATGCAATTTTTACTTATCGTCCCTTTAACCCACATCGACTATGCAGCTCCAAAAGCCGTTCAAGAGACACCGGTGACCATTTATCATCAACTTGAGCAAATATCTTTTGGTTCACAGTGTCTACTACTATGCTAATGTTCCCAAAGCCATATATTTGGAGGCCATCTTGCATCCTCCCTGGCTTTGGCAGGAATAGCAAACCATTCTGTTGTGCATGAATTTCAATTACTTCTTTCAAGCTCATCACATTTTCACTGCCTATACCCTCCCCATGGAATCCACCGCTTAAGTTTGCAGAAGCATGTTGTTGAGCTTGAGCTGCAGCAGCCTTTTTTTGTGCCTCAAACTGCCTTTGTTCCAGCACTCTGAGATAACTTATATTCTCTCTTAAACCTGGTTGTATCACTTCCAAGCCTTCAGCTGCCTGGCTCATCATACCCAGACCAACATTAATCCTATCCCGTATATGTTCATCTGCAACAACTTCAGGAGGCAAAATTTCCTTCCAACCTAAAAACCATTTGGTAACTTCTTCAAAGTTTGGGCTTGAACACAACCAATGGTACAGAACTTCTAGCCACTTGTTGAAGAAGATGTCAAAAAGTTGAACCATGTGATGAATTGGAACATCAGTAGCCCATGTCCGTACCCAGTAAAACTGATCAAGGTTCTGATTTGCTGGGTTTACTTGGAATTCATGCATGACAGCCATCAACTTTGGGACAATGAATCTGACCATGAGTTTTTCCCAACTGTTTGGATCAAATACAGTCTTCCAAGGTGACAGTATGTAGTATGCAGACATATCACTTGGGTGCCAGGCATGAAGTACACTTTCCAATCTGTAACGTATCGTGTGATAGCACTTCTCCAGCTTTTGTCCCAACAAAGGCAGCCATGGATGAATCCAGGAGTGAATTGGGATTGTCTCCCGGCGTGGATCCCATGAGTCAACAGCAGCTGATAACTTGGGCAAAACAACATTATCAAGAATGGCATGAAGAACTACAGGAGGAAACAGCTTTTCCCAGGATTCCAAAAACCGGAGCATGGGTTCTGGGTCTCTTGCCTGCCAAGTGTTGGTCCCAGATATTTTCACAGCAGGAAAAACTACTTCCATAAACAGCTGTGTGTAAGGAGATGCCATATCAGAGTAGCCAAAAGAATTATCTTGCAACAGATCCTTCCACAACGAAAAAACCTCTAATCCATGAGTAGGGTTTTGAAGTGGGTTCCATCCCTGAAACACTCGAATAAACAGAGGGAGAGCATATGAGCATGCTATGGATGACAAATTGCAGAGTTTATAATCATCAGCATACCGCTGTTGCAGATACAGAAATGACTTCATAAGTGAGTCAAGAGTCAATGTGCCGACTTTACTTTCTCCATCCATCCGATCCAACTCACTCACTATAAATTCCATATTTTCAAGCTGGTTTTTCTGGAAGACTGCCTCAGATTGGAGTTTCTCCTTCTCCTTCTGTAAAGCAACCACCTTCCCCCTCTCATTTCTCAAATCTTGATCAATTTTTTGTATGTCGAGTTCAGCTAAATCTACAATCAATCTGACATTGTGCTGAAGTTCGGGCATAGGAATATCATTTTCCATTGCTTTCTCTTCAGCATTTAGGTTCTCCAGGTTTGTCAGAACTCGAACTTGTGGACCTCTCATGTCAAACACCTTTTGAACAACTTCAAGTCCCTGCTCTTGCTTCTTAGCCAGTAACTCTTCTGCGGTTATATAAAACTTCTTTTTTGAAGCTTTCTTTAGCCAAGGCTTCTCTTTTGGGTGGCTTTTCAACATCTCCACAGGCTGCGGGGAGGATTTTACTTCTGATTCTTGAAGTTTTGGCACAGCAGCCTCTTTGTAGTCATTGAAACCCATACCCATATTCTTTGGCCGCAGCTTTGCTTCGATGGGGGCAGTGATACCCTGTTCGTCCTTCCCAAGGCCACCTCCCTTATAGCCCATCTTTTCAAGCAACTTCATCCCAATTCCTTTAGTGTGCTTCTCAAATGCACCAACATCACCAGCATCTGTTTCTCTTCTCCCTCCGGTATGAGATGCATTTTTTAGTTGCATTGACTTCTCTTTTTCCTTTTCCTTCCTCAACAAGGCACCTTTTTGGATCATCTTCCCAAAAGCAGATGGTAGAAAGTTCTCAAGATCTCTACTATCTACATCCTCACGAATAGTCTTTGAACCAAATCCAATGGCAGAAGAAGATGCTCCTACCCCCAGAACTGGCGGCCTATCATCAACATCCTCTAATTTTATGCCCTCCTTATGCTTTCGATCAATTTCCTGGTTGGGCATTACACTGCCTGTGGAGACGAAATTAACAGGTTTGGTAAGGTCTGGCTTCTTCGAAAGTTCTTTCCTCCGCTTCTTCGAGGAGCCTAATCCTGACCCCTCATAGTCTGAATCGCTATCTCCAGAAGCAAAAACACCATAAAGAACATCATCCTTGGTCTGCACCGATTTTTCCTTGCGGGCCCTGTAGTAATACTCACCATCAATCCACCGACCACCCTCAAAATCATTTTCCATTCCAAATCTTTCCGCCTCCTGTTGCTCATCCATACTGACAGCCTTCTTATAAGCTACACAAACATCAAATAGTTCAAATCAATTTTATAAACATGCAAAAAGACAGAAATTTAATTAAAAATGGCTATGTTTTATTTAAAATTATTACAGGAAAGAGTCTTTAAAGAAGTACTATCTGGGACAGATATTTCTTCATTAAAGTATTATAGTAGTAAATTGGATATCAAGCAGTATAGTCTTTAACAAATTTCTTCCTTAAAATGGCCAGTCTTTGAAGAAGTTTGGCCGATATGATGTAAAGTAGTAACTGGATATTACTCCCTCCATCCCAACATTATCTCATGTTTTGACTTTGCACACAGATTAAGAAAGTGGAAAATGTTTGACCTAAAGTTGTACAGAGGAGAGAGAAAGTGAGACAAATGTTGTGAACCACAAATTCTTTTCCAAAAAAGAAAAGAGGAGTTTATATTGGGATGGACGGAAAAGGAAAGAGTGAAGATAGTATTGGGACGGAGGGAGTAGCAGCGATTGTTTTAAAACAGATAAGAGACCCAGAACCCATGTTGTCCCAGGTAAGGAAATTGAAAGTACATAATCTCAAATTCTACATTCCAACCTACCCATCAATGTAAATGAAATTTAATTTTGTGAAATAAGTTTACTAATAATTCATTTTATTTTACAAAAGTTGTGATATATCTGCCACAAAAAATGTACTCCGTGGATAGTAATCCTTCCGGTGCATCGAACGGGTACTACAGTAGATTTAAGGTGAGATCACGTGTAGGGCTGATCCGGAGAAAATGGGGACCCTGTGCAATAAAAAATAATGGGTCTTCTTTCCACACTAGTAGAAATAAAACATACATGAAGATGACCATAGTGATAAATCACTAATAATTTTGTCAAAATACAAGTTACAAATTTACTATTAATTGTAAACCCAAAAAATGCTTATAAACTATTAATTTATTGTGTAAACAACTGCAAACTTAACAACCTAATATCATAATTATACCAATTTCTAAAATATAATTAGTTTAATTAATTACTTTATGAAATAAATAACCACCATTGTTTTAAATTGCAGAATGCCTTACCGCCTCAAGGCATCCCTTGGCATTCTTCTCTTATTTACGATGGGAGGTGTATCTCATTTTTAGCAATATATAAACTTGTGCAATTGTAGCTGAAGCGTACGCCTATTGGCTATTGCATACGCAATCGAACGTTTATTGAGGTGTGCTTTGCGAAGGAGGAGTCCTGTAGACATTCAGGTTCTTCAGTGGGTGTACACAAGAAGTTGGGCCCACTTATAAAATTAAGCTCAAATATGTTTTAAATCTTACGTCTGTAAGGTACTAAAGTGTGACTTACTTCTATTGTGTGCCTGCGAATTTACTTTTACTCTGTGTGACGAAGCCAGCTGCAGGGGTGCAAGTTCTGAGTTCCAGCAGTTCTGTGTGAAGGCTTTGTGGAGTGTACATCAATTTTTATCTAATTTTCTTTTTTCACCACTTCAGGCCAACAACTAATAATATTTTTAAACTATTTTAACTTAGCCCATAGGTATGGTTTGGAATATAAGAGGCTAAGGGCAGCTGCACGATTTTAACTTTTCAAATTGTTTTTCCATATATAGGCTGTAATAACTTAATTTATTTATGCATATAATGCATTGCACGACAGACCTTAGCTTTTAAAAATCTTTTCTAATAGTTCTTTTTTACATTTAATAACTTCTAGAAATGAGTCATATGACATTCATTATTGTTCTATTTAGCTTACTCTGTATAGCATACTTGAGTATAAGGATTGTGAAAAACTAAATAATTAAGAGTAAAAAACTTGACAATTAACACTGGTTTTTAAACTTGTTTCTATTAATGATAAAAGTTGCTAGTGTGCGGGTCCAAAATATGAAATTTGATCTCTGTTTCATATCGCTTCATATTGAAAATTTGCTTTTAGACTTCTCAATCATATGGTCTAAGAACCTTAACAGATCAGAAAATATTTGCTTTGTGTGATGTTTGAACATCATATTTTGATGGGTTTAGGACCTCAGTTTTGTTGGCTTTGAGTATGATAGTTTTCTACTTTTAATGATTAGGCTATTTTACTGTTTATTAAATTATTTGTATTTTTTAATATAAATTTGTGTAAAAACCTGAGGCAATGTTAAGAAACAGCCTCAAATACGCAATACCTAATTTCAAACATTAATAACAACCTTATTTGTTAATTCGATTATAACTATTCAGGCCTAATAAATAACTAAAATAAGCAACTCCACCCACATAATAATCAAGAAGATTAACAATACATGAGAAGTATCTTCAAAAAAAAACAATACGGAGTACATGAGAAATAAAAAATATTAATAATTTATAGCTTAAAAGAGAAAAACTTACCAGGTTCCGCGAGCCTGCGAGAGCCCAGAGCCGAGCGGAATCACACCTTCCAACATCCCCCAATTGGCAATTGGCTCTGCAAGCGACCAAGTTAGAGAGTGGTGTTGAACATACCTGAATCTTCAACTTCCATGATGATATACCTACCTCGTCACAAGGTAACAGTATAATATTTAAAAAGTTAAACCATAGATACTATAAATACCCAAGAGAATAATTATTATGGAAATAAACAAAACATCAATTAGTCAAGTGGAAAACAATTAAAATATTACATTCACCAATATGCAAAATGGTAACTTCCTCTGTTTTCTTCATCTTCTAATGTTTACGGATTTTTTACAAACCGTACGAGTAGGATGAATTGCAGCTAGGGTTGAGATGCCTCAGTAAAAAAGACAGGAACGGAATTTTGATAACGAAGAAGAAGAGCGTGAGAGAGAGAAATACCTCAAGAGAGGGAGTGGATTTTGCCTGAGAGATAATCGGAGTTGGAAAGGGTGGTGTCCCGGACTGGCTGCTGGCTTTTCACTGGGCGCCGAATCGCCTGTCGTCTTCGAGCTTTCTAGCCTCAGCGGCGGCGTAATGCGTTGTTAATACTCCGGTTCTCTTCTTAGTCGGCCGACTGGCATCAAATCTAATACTCCCTCCGTCCCTAAGTTTGTCCCGTTTTACCTTTTTCGTCCGTCCCACTAAGTTTGTCTCATACCATATTTGGTAACATTTGAGTGGTTAGAATTCATTCTTACTTTATTTACACTTTATCAATTCAATACCAAACACACAATTCCACTTTTTCTTAAAAACCACACCACACCCCTCCGTCCCAAACTTAGGGGGACGGAGGGAGTAGGATTTTGGGCTGAAGATTCTTAATACTACTCGGCCTGCTTTTTTAACACTGGGCCATCACATAAAAATGGGAAAAAAAAATGTGCAATTCTAAATTATTTACTATCTATAGCCTAAATTTCCTTTTTATCCTTTTGATTTAATTCGAGGAACTACAGAGCTTTAAACTTCGCAGATCTTCATCTGTTGTTGTCTTGGAGCCGTCAAACTCAAACGAAGTTCCCAAAAGAAAACATGAATACTCCGTATAAATTTATACTTTGATCTATCATCTTTTTTTACTGTTTTTTGTGAACCATATTTCTGCAAATTTATGAACGATTCTCATAATAGTGACATATTGAATTATTGACAAATATGTTAGCATTCATCCCGTCGGAGATTAAATTAATCAAAAACTTTATACTTCATGTTTTTGGGAGAGAGAGCACTTAAAACATGGAATCCTTATATTGGTATGATTTGAATCACAAGTCCATAAAAAATATCTAACTGTTTAAACTCGAAATGTTCTAAGAAATCTAATACTGGCCCTTTAAATTGAGGAGCCGGTGGAAGGTTGGGGGCAGGATCAATACTCGTTGATTCATGAACGACATTTCAAGCAATTAAAAAGGATGGTTGAAGAGTTGTGTTGCAGTCGTGACTTTCTAGGTGGATTATGGCGCTATTAAAAATGGAAATTGGAGAAAGTAGTTGTGTTCTTCTATGATGATTGTCCAGAAGGTTTCAATTAAAGATTAGAATGGTAAGAGAAGAAATTTGAGATGCGAAATGTTATGATGGTTGTAGCACCGATTTCAATTAAAAGGTAACTTTGGAATCAAAAATCGATTTATGTATTACTACCTCCATCTCTTTTATATTGGGACAGAAGATGGTGACACGATTTTTAAGAAAAGTGAGTTTGTATGGTTGATATTAATTGATAAAGTAAGAATAAAGTAAGAACGATTTTGAGCCACACAAACTTTACCAAATATGGTATGGGACAATATTAGTGGGACTTCCCGAAAAAGTAAAACGGGACAATATAAGTGGGACGGAGGGAGTATATTCCAATCGGGTGGTTGTAGATAGTAAATTATGGTTTGTAAATAGAAGCACCCTTTTTATTCACGGCCCTGTTTCTTTTTATTCGTGAACCTGTTTCCATATATCTGTGTGTATGAGGTCTAGCGGTTCTGTGTCTCTTGTGACAGTTTGAAAAGGTTTTGTAACCATTTTGGCTTCCACACAAACTTCACACTTTTGATTAGGATCAATATGACACTTAGGCAATAAATCTAAATGCATAAGTCGACGCAAAGTATCATAATTAACATGTCATAATCTAGCATGTCAAATAAAAGAACAATCAACCAAGTAAGGAGAACCCACTTTATTATTATTCACAACATTATATGGTACAACAGTCAACACTTTCATTTTTAAAAAGTCCGTCACTGAGATAGTCCCTCCCAACATAGACGTCATATTTAGTCAGTACAATTTTATCGGATACAAAGATAAAACAATTTTTAATTAAAAGGGAGCCCGAAATCAATTTTGTTTTTATCTTCTGACCCTTTCGGTTGGACTTTCACTTATCCTCTTCTATCGTCAGACGGACAAGAGAGCTTCTCTAGGGACATTTTATAATTCTCAATTACTGCCGCAACTTGGAAGGACTCGCTACGGGGCACACCCTCAACATGAATTTCATGAAGAATAAATTGAAATTCTTCAAATTGAAAAACGATCGACTTATGATCAACCATAACAAAGTCCAAGAAATGGACAATTATAAATATCCTTTTGTTAGTATACCCTGATTTGTACTTTATCTCAAGTGATTCCCATAATTCTATTACGGTCATTACATCGACACACACATAATACAAGGGGTCATTAAGTTTGTTTAAAAGATAATTTATACACATGAAGTCCGAATGCCTCCAAGGAACCACTGCGGCTAACTTCTCTCTTTTAGTCTCACCTTTTTAAAAGAGGTTGACACTTAGCCAAAAATCAACATCGTTATATAAATCAATAATATTTTTTTCCCACACTTGAAATCGTGGGCACTAAAAATCTTGGATTCTTACCCGAGGAATTAACCAAGACGGTAGTGAGTAGGGTGACTGAAGAAAAAAATGATATCACTTTCGTCTCACGTTTTGTTTACACAAAATACATGGTTTCAATTTTATTAAAAAAAATTGAGAACACATATAAAGATAAATTAAGTGCACGTCTACTAAAGAGATATAAGGAAAAAGTAAACACGTATAGGCGTTTACACAAAACCTCCGCATGCACAAATTGCATGGAATTGAGGCAGATTTTTACCAATACTCCATTCGAATTAGTCAAATGCCTAAATTGGATTTGAGAGCAAATCGTGCATCAACCAATTTAAACATTATTGCAATGGAGAAAGTACTATTAAAACTACGAGTGGTTAAAATACGTCCATAACACATATGGAGACAGTAATCGGCGTGATCAAAATCCAAAACAGACTAATGGTTATGACAAATACAGTTATACGGTGTATAAACACGCAGGAATAAACCAGAATAAAATACTATGTACTACGTACGTATTCATAATAGAAATGTGTGCAGACTGAGTGATATCTTTTAATATGTGCACAGAAAAGTCAAAAACCAGAGAAGAATTCTAGATATATACAATTTACAATTAGTAGTGGAAGAAATAGCAATGTGCAGGAATTGAAACATTAAGATGCCAGGCACACGATAAACATGAATCATATAAAATCAATTAATAACTTGAATCAAATGTAAAAAGAGAATTGACATTCACGTTACTACTCACGTAAAAGATGCTCCGTAAAATACAATTCAAAAAACATATATGCAGACAAGATAATTTTATACGATCCAAAAGCATATATGCAGTCAAGACAATTTGAATTATATACGATTACAAAGTATGTAAACATAATTAAACGAATAGACATGCACAATCCAAAATATGTAAGAGAGCAATTACGGCACACTGAAAACCATCCGGCAGTGGCATGCAGAAATGAATCTATACCAAAAAACGTCTTAAGATTGGAACATGATGTTGAATTAGAGTCGGCTCTAGGATAACATGGAAATGTAGTTGGGTCGATCCCTTGCCATGTGAATAGGATAACATGGAAATGTAGTTGGGCCGAGCCCTTGCCATGTGATTAAGATTTACATGGAAATTTAGTTGGGCAGAGCCCTTGCCATGTGATTAAGATTTACATAGAAATTTAGTTGGGCCGAGCCCTTGCCATGTGACTAAGATTTACATGGAAACGTAGTTGAGTCGAGCCCTTGCCATGTAATTGGGATTGCATAGAAATGTAGTTGGGCCGAGCCCTTGCTATGCAATTATAATGTATTAAATTTCGAGTTAAAGGATTGCATAGAACTGTAGTTGGGCCGAGCCCTTGCCATGCAGTTATAATGTGTTGAATTTCGAGATAAAGGATTGCATAGAAGTGTAGTTGGGCCGAGCCCTTGCTATGCAATTATAATGCGTTGAATACTAGAAGTGTCGTGACTAATGGTCACGGGAACTAGAGGAAATGTTTTCAAGTGAACATGGGCCTACGGGCCGACTGCTTGACTTTATATATAAAGTAAATATATTTTAAATGGGGTAACTAAGGGTTACGGCCTATAATATAATAACACTCTATTTGAGGGTCTTAGAAATTAAAACATCGATTATACTTAGTATAGTTGTCATTGTACTTTTCAAATGCTTCAAAGTACTGACCTCCCCTTCACGGAGGATGCCACCTCACAGATTCAGGTAGAACTTGAAGGTTGCTACCATCGCCCTTTGCTTTGGGAAGATCCAATGAGAGAAGACGTGGTTCGTGCTTCCTCCGTATCTGTTTTAAAAATAATTACATTAAATGTCCATGGATATTATTTTCTGAATAATTATTTGGGGGGCTTGTATGCCCAAGTTTGCCAAGTGTGGCTTGAACACTTGTATTAATGTTTCCGCTGCTTTAAATGAATATTTTACATTATGTTTGTTTATGGATGCACTATGTGTGAATGGTATTCAAGACGCCTAGTATAGTATGGATGAGCTGGACTGCGGTTGACTATTAGTACTGTACGGCGGGTTGTTGACGTGTCCGGTAGGTCTGGGGCGTGACACTGATACCACTAGATGGTCCCTAGTGATGTGAAAGTCTAGAGTGAGGGTGAATAGACTTTTACAACTTTTCGGTTTATAATGTCTTTCCCTCGATTAGAGTTTGATTCTAAACCTTTTGATAGGTTACAAAGTACACAATGGAAATCTTAACTTCTTTATAACGATATAATTTACACATTATCCGGTTATAGATAATGTGTCAAAGGATTGTTTCAAGTATTTTTGTGTGAAGTTGAATGTCGTAAGAGTTTTTACAACGTTTGTGGAAAGATGGATGTAACAACAATCCTCAAAAGAGACACAAAGTTGACTCGATGGTAGCTTAACAGTGAGGTAAGCAGCAGCCCGCTGCTAGTATATTGTTGAGGCATCTGTCAAGCTAAGAACTTCAACTCTTCATTATATGGGATGGTAAACTTCTAGAAGATATAGATGGAGTTCGGAAGGGGTGTAAGATACTCTATGAATTAGCTTGTTTTGGTGAGAGTAGTTTTGACATATTTGTGTTCACCTTAACTAGGTATACAAATTGGGTTTGTATTAATGCAGTTTAGATGACTTTAAGAAAGATGTTTGTTGACAAATAAACTTCTAGGACTTAAGATAGTGGGTGGGTGC